TCTCTCTCTCTCTCTCTCTCTTTCTCGTGACAATTTTAAACTGTCGAACAACATGACAAATAAAGCTGCTTTGCAACACAGTTTCGAATGAGATTTTACCGCGCAATTTTGTTTTTACAATTAAAAAACAGCGTGATATGCAAAATGTCATGTTGCGCGAAATGAACGCATAATTCTTCAGACGAGCGGATCTTTGCAAATACGAGAGATCATTCACCGAGTAAAATTTTTTTTCCGCGTCATTACTCTCGTTTTACGCGCTGTTCGCATCCGCATTTGCATCTCGCGATCGATCTCGCGACATTCGCTGTGACGCAATTTGACCCGTTTGATCGAGGAAGAAAGTGATTTCAATTTTGCCGACCAAACGTCGGAGAGAACGCTCTGAAACGTCTCTTAAAACAAAAATGAGAATTACGCTTATAATTGCACAAAGAATTGCTTGTAATTACCATAAATCATTAAAATATAATTAACTCTTTGCGGACAGACATGGATCTTCCAGACTCAAAAATTATGCATCGGCGTTTTTAGTAAAAAATTAGGTTTGTTTTAAACGCTTATATCTTCGAAATTACTAGAGATTTGTTTTATCTAGCCGTCATTTTTGTAACCTGTTCACAAAAGGTTAATTAAAACTAATTAATTGCTGAATAATTAAATGACTACTCAAGTAATTACTTAATTTATTACTATTTTTTTAAATTGACAAGAAACTAAAGAGAAGTTGGTTTGAAAGTGACGATCGTTTATTCATTTACGACGGTAACACACGTTGTCAATAAAATAAAGTTGAAACTATGCGTGAGAGAATATATTTCGAATGACAACTCGCATGACACTGTCTCGACACACACATGTGTGTCGAAAAGAGATGTAACGATTTGATATATCTCTTTTAAAAACCGGTCTTCTTCGTTAATACCGATCGGACTGAAGCCTCTACTGCCGACAAGTATCTGTAAGCGGATTAATTACATAGAAAAGGAAGCCATATTTACGCACGACAAGCTGAAGCAAAGTCGGCGGAACTACTGCGAAAACATCTGAAATTCTATGTAATTCTGTGTAACTTATCCAGATCGTAAATTACTTCCCCGATTTTATATCTGATTAATTACTTGCCTCGCAATTATCCAAACGACTTCGCGTTCACAATCCGATCTTGAATATTAATATAACACGGTAAAAACAAAGGTTTGCTATTATATGGCCAGTAAGAAAACTTTATCGAGTCTACTGAATTTTTTTGTCTCATCAACAAATGATTTTATTAGCAGACCAATTAATCTTCTTGCTGTTTCAGCAAATTTTTTTTCTTATGAATATAAATGTATATTATAACAAATGTATATTATATTAACATAGTGTTTTTTCATAAAAAATAACAATCGTTTTGCAAATTTTTATAATAAACTGCAAGAAAACGATGTTATAATTTGATAAAAGATAATGAATTACTTGATCCAGTTTTTTTATTCGATTCGGTATTATTTCCGCTGATCAATAAGATAAATAGATAGCTTCATAATGGTTCCGCGGAATATTCTTTTTTTTTTCTGTCCAGACTTGCAATATTTTGCGACTATTTGTATCGATATTATGTACGTGAATGCCAGCCATGCTTTTTGTTTTTGTAATTGCGTGCTGCTAATTCGGAGAGAGTTAATTCGTTTATTAATCGGCAGTTGAGTTGTTTGTTCGTTTTGCATAATTATTGCCTAATTATTGTGTAATTTATTGAATTATTTTGAAGTTTTAATTTTTAGTTTTTTGACTAATTTATGTATCGAACTTCATTAACTTTTTATCGATTGCTTAATTGCTACTCGTATACAGATTTTAACTTTTGTATACATTGACACAGTAAAGTTAGTGATATCAATTTTTGTAGAATTAAAATTTGTCATAATATGATTTGACACTTATTGTTTGCGTTCGTGAACTCTCTCTGAACGGTTAGCATGCGGTTGGCATGCGCGCGCGGTTACAAATTTTATATCGATATGTCTCACTAAGGTGTGTAAAGTTAGAGATTAATTTTGGTTTTTCTCACTGAAATAGTTTTTTACTATTTTTTGTAAAAACGCGAATAGAGAATATATTTTTTATTTATTTTGTTTTATTGCTAATTAGATTGGCTGACGATGAATAAAACGATGATCGAAACGTTCTTGTTGAGTCGAGAATGTTTTTTCACTTTTTGAATTTATAAAACCATGTTTACGTCAGTAAACCGCAGCTTCTAGCTTTATTTTAATTTTTAATTTCATAATAAATATCATATTTAAAAAAGACTTTTGAAAAACCGCTTCTCCCGGAAGATAAAAGAAAGACGCGCTCTCGTGAATTAATGAATTTAAAAGATGCTATGTATTCACTTTTAAGAGAACACTGACCCCGAAGAGATAGCAGCGTAGATACAGCTTTCGTATCGCATTAAAAAAAAAAAAAAAAAAAGGAAGAAAGAGAAAAAACAAGACGATAGAAGAGGAAGAAGAAGGTCCAGGCTGTTCGCCAAGCAACAGCTGGCTTCTCGCATCGCGCGCCGTCACTTCTCGGCCACGCTTCTTCGTGTACGCAGTGCCGAGTGTTGTTACCAACCGATTTATCAGAGAGAACCGGTCTGTCCTCTTCGGTTCTTGTCTTCTTTTTTCTACATCGTCGTTGTCGTCGTCACCGCTGCCGCCGCCGCCGCCGCCGCCGCCGCGCCAAGACCGGTCTCGTAGCCTATTTCCCTTTCATTGTTCGTACGCGTCTTTCTTCCTCGCGAATACTCTACGTGTTCCTGTGTCTTTATTCGCGTTAATGTCTTTGTTACGCTTATCGCGCATCGAGTCCCGTTTGATGCGGTCAAGTGGAGCGAGGACTTCATTTTTCATTATCGACCGAAACGGACGACTGAATGGGTCGTTTATTTCAAATGTGAGACACTGGAAGAATTGTCGTATGCACAACACGCATCGATCTCTGTTTATATCTTCTCGAGATTTCGACCGCTGTTTGCATAGACGAGACCGCGTTTACGCCTTCAAAACTCGAGAATCTTTTGATTTGCACTTTTTCGAAGTGTGTTTCAAGTATTTTGCGCGTATTATGTAATTTGCGAAAAATTAAACGCGACGACGAGAGCTTCCTGGTTATCTGCGCATGGCCGCTTATGGAACGCGTTTTGCCAGCGGTTATCGATTAAAACACACGCCGGAAGACAAACTCGCCTCGCGAGTAAACCGTATTTACGTTCGCAATTTCCGCGCTCTCGTTTTACGAACGCATTTTTCTTTTCAAATCGCGCCGCGATATTTTCCATTTTCGTAATCGACGCGGCGGGGATAAAAGAGACGTCATTATTTGTTCTCGCTCTCTGCGTCAAAATTCCTGTTAGTCGTAAAACTTCTCGCTATAATAAGAGGCTTTAACTTTTGCGTTGCGGTCAATGCCGCCAGAGTTCGGTTTTGTGTTCCGATCTCGTGGAATCAACGAGTTGATTACGGTTAGCTTCGTTAGTGCGCGAGAGAAACGACGGATTTTGCGGCATTGTGCGCGAGATGCACGCGCGAGAGGAATGTAAAGCTTTATATCCGCCAATTTCGGAGCTCCTGGCGAAAGTCGAACTCTCGGCGCGGTCAAGGGTAATTCAATAACTCGCTTAATTAATCCCTATCGCTTAATTGAGATCTACATCTCGCAACAGCAAATTATAAAGTTAAGAGCGAGAAAAAAGATTTTGAACTTGTAAGACATTTGGATTTTTGTATAGAAAGTTGTTTTTTTGCGATTTTCATCAGAGTGCGTCGTGTTAAATAAAATCATATGTACATATATAAAACATATTTAAATTATTAATCGAGAATTGACTCCTAATTAAAAAAAGTAGAGTAAGAGAAAGTCAATAGGAATCGAGACATTGATGTTGATGTTTTATTTATGATGCGATTTATAAATTTGCAATGTTTCGACATAGGAATGAGATCGTTATCAAGCAAAACCAAAATAAACCGGAAATGTACAAGTAATAAATACGAAAAAGAAAAACAAAATAAAAGAACAAATCTTGCTACAATATAAGATGGCATAAAGCGCGATGTACAATTGTTCAAAGTCGTGAGTAAAAAGCGTGTCAAAAGTGAAGTCAATAAAAGTCCAAATTTTTTCAATGGTTGTCAAATTTATGAAGGTTAGTTAAATTTATATTTTTATTATAGAAAACCGTCACAAAACTTAATATCGTGCGAATAAAGACAACCTTGACTCTGAACAACTGTACATCGTGCTTTGTTATAATTTCTCGTATTGTAAATTACAAGATCTTTTTTCGTATTTTTTCTTTTTTCTTCTTTTTCACATATTTATTGCTTGTAAAACATTCTGTTTATTATAATTTTGCTCAATGATGACCTCATTTCTATGTCGAAACATTGCAGATTTGTAAACTACATCAATAAATATTGGTGTCTTCTCTTACTTTAATTTTTTTACATATAAATTATATGTACACAAAATTGTAAAATAATTATATATAAAGAAAATTATATATACAGTGTTAATTAATTGCCCGAATCCTCGCGTGATAATTTTTGACTCGCTTGATTTTCCGTTGTAGCTGCTTCTTACCGTGGCCCCGGCGAGGACGAGGACAAGAACTCGTACGCCGCTCGAATTGCCTTCACCGGCAATTCCCGCATCCTAGGGCCGATCTGCATAGTCGTGGGCGCTCTCATGCTTGGTCTCGGCGTGCTGCTCTGCATGCTAACGAGGCGGGCCAGACGGAGAGAGCGCAGGGTGGGTTTCCACTGCCCACTTCACGGAGACTTCTATCCCGTCAGTCCGGTTCAGGGCATTAAAATGCTCGGTGAGTCAATTTAACTAAAGAAAAAATTTTAATTTTTAAAATTAAAATATTCAATTTTATCAGTTTTAATATCCACCGTGTGAGAAAAGTTCACGAGAGAAAAAAAAGATTTGCTAGAATAGCAAACAATCGGTTATACCATATGGCCAGCAAGGAAAATTTACTTACTGATTTTTGCCAACAAAACGTTTTGATAAAATAAAAAATTCAATAGATGCAACAAATTTTTTCTGCTGGCTATACAAACAAAACTTTTTCCGTGGTTGGTTTTTTAAATATCACAATTTGAAAGATATTTCAAATGATAATCTTAATTTTTTACACATTTATTTTACAGTAAATTTTATATTTGACTTATAAAATTAGTACAATATTTTTAATATTGTAAATATCACGTTTTTAATGACACGTGTGACAAAATACAGTCACGTGACTTTAGTTACGTGTTGTTTTTCCACTTTTCTCTCACTATTTTTTGATTTTTATGCGTTATGTCTGACGTCTCTCTAATGTGTATCATATGGTTTGTAAGACGTATATACTAGCTGTCATCGCGGTGACAGGTTGTGTTCACTGATACGCGTTAAAACGAAAACAATGATAGTGTGCGCGTAGCGCGCGTCTGTGTTGTGCTAGTATAGTAAATTATGAATATTATCACGTGAAAAACTTGATCAAATCACATTTCTGCGGCAATCGTTCGATACGGTTGTTCTTTTAGCCCGGCGACGATAAACGCACACTGATCATTTAAATGATGACATATCTCTTCGATTAGCGAGACGGTCATTGAAATGATTCTCACGAAGAGAAAAAAAATTACTTTCTACGCAATACACTCAGCCGCTTATTATCGCCGTGTCACGCGAGGAAAACAAATAAAAAACAACTAGTTTTTGTACATGTAGTTTTCGCGTAGTCACAGGTCGAGTTGAACGTTGAATAATCAGCGTCGAGACGCGATTGGCCGATCCGCTGCTCGCCTCGTTTAAAATCATCATTTGTGACAGAGTTGTCGTTTCTTTTAACTCTGACAGTACTGTTTAGAGCTTCCTTTTACTTGAACGACCGTAAATTTTGTGAGCGCTGCCAAGTAACGCGCGTAACTACATCACCATCGTCATCAACTAATTCAGCCGATCGTGATAACGAGTTTACGAGCCGCGTTTGACGACGCGGCACCGTCTTAGGAAACCCATTGGTCCCTCGATGCTCGGCCGTCGCTCGCGAGCGTGCCAGCTCGTGTCAATTGCCTTGAATTCAGGACGAGGCTGGATAAGGGCGAGGAGTAGGGTATAGAGACTAACTGGATTGTCGGAGAATTCAGGCTAATACGACTCTATCAGATTATTGCGTGGGTCGATCGCGCGCGCGCGCGCGCGCGTCACGAATCCTACAAGTTTTTGTATTTCTTCGTGAGAGAGAGATCGCGATATTGGAACATCACATCGCGTGATAACGAATCTTTATTCGATGAGGGTTTTTCGGTTGTAAATCGGTTGAAAGAAACGTACGTAGTTGTGTAGAACAGAACATTCCGAAGATATCGAGAAACCTATCGATCAACTCGACACAGCGAATAACAGAGTGGAACTTGGCACGAAATATCCGGAGCGGCTTAAAAATTATTGCCTTCAAGAAGACCAACAATTTTCTGATGCTCAAATATTTAGAAACGCGCGCGCTCGGTTACGTTTCGACGGGCGTTGCAAGAGCGAGCGGCGCGTAGGTAAATAAATTTTTCTCGCGTCTCTCGGATGTAGCGCGTCATCAAGAATTTAAGACGTTTCTGGGAATTTAGAGCCCATGTGCTGGTGGTGCTACATCTTAATGAGAGGCGCGACTCCCCGAGGGAATTGTTGCTGCAACGGTCACGTGCGACAGTTGCGAGGAGCAAGCGCTAATAAAAATTGCAGAAAGCACGCACTCGACTCTTCTCGCATACGAAATATTTTTTCGTTAAACGAGCGATAGGTACAACTTAACGAGTTTTTTCACGAGGTACGCGGTCACACAGTAAAAGAGTAGTGAAAGTATCGATGAAAATATGTTCCAATTTGAGTTACGGGAAAATAAAACGATATGCAATTCGCGTGCTGTTGAAATTGCGCTAATTGATAACGCGCAGTTGATCGCATCGCGCGTGAAATTCCCAATAACGATGTGTTCGCGTTTATAGGGAATGACGAGCGTGATCGCGTTAAGGAAATAAAATCGTCAGCGGATGATAACAGGCGCCGACCTTCGCGCCTGTTTAGCGTAACGTGCGGTCGCATAATTCTTTTCAACACCTCCGTTACGATATTTTATTTTATTTTATTTATTTATTTTTTTTTTCAGAAACTATTTTGCTCAAATTAAAAACTTTTCTTGTACTCTCGTGCGATTATTTATGAGCTGATTGTTCTCAAAACAACTTTTTTCTAGAGAATCTTCTTTATTTAAATTTAAATCACATTGAGTCGCTCGCACACGAATATGCAAAAACAATTCTCCAAGAATTCCGCAAACCCTAGAATTGTGGCAGCAGCAGAAGGACTGGCACTTGAGTTCCACCCGTTACTTAATTTCAGCCTCGGGTGGTTTGCTTGCTACTCCCTATCTCTTTGTGCGTTCCGCCGTTTCAAACGCGTTTCTTTTCACGGTGTCTTCCTTGCGTGCGCCGCCACGTCTCACGGATGCACACGCCGGATGCAGACGTACGTCTCCTCATCGCGTGTACGTAAACTTAGTCTATGTTCCGCACTGTGGAAAGGGCTGCGGATTCCCTTTTCTCTTTCTCACGCACTTCGCGTTAGCACTCGAATACACCCTTTGTGCGGTTTCTTTCGCGAGACTGATCATTTTCCAGAAATCTCATATCGACGATGGCCGCGCGCGCGATGTTCTCGCTCAAGTACATACTCGAACGAGAACAAGCGCAAACAAGTCGGCGGAAAAATAAAAACTTGCTCGATATACAGTTCCAAGAAAGGAGTACGTGTAATTTTCAAAAAAGAGAGTGTTGTGTGGAAAGAAAGAACGAAATTAATTGTAAAAAAAAGAACATTTTTATAGAAGTATTGTTGTATATTCACATTCGTGTTTTGCGCTTGACAATTAGGAAAATATATACGTAGCGATTCTCTTGAATTGTGTTTTTAAATAGAATTAAAAAGATAAGTTGACAATATTTGCTATAAAACATGTCTGAAGATGGTTTTCGGATTTGAACCACGTTAGTGTCATTTTTATACGGACATTTCATTTCGTCAGGCTTTCAAGAACAATTTTTGATCTCTTGCAACCCTAAACAAATGAACAGAAATGTCTACGAAACGTTCTAAAAACGACGCAGTTCAAATTCGAAAACTATCTTCAGGAATTTTTATAACACATTGCATCGAATATCAGACCATAAAAAATTATTTAACGTAAATGACATATCTTAATAAGATTCGGATTAAATGACAAAAAGACACAAAAAAAAAAAAGAAAAACATAATCTTAAGTCAACAGTTACTTCGTGACTACATAAGTATTGGACAATACAGAATTCACATTCACTGTTTTATATAGACTACACAATAATTAATACAAAATAATAAAGTCAAATTAGTGAAAGTAAAGTGTGCACTGTCAAAATTAAAAAGGTCTGCTCTTGTTTATATTGCCGTCATTCTTTTAAAAATTAATTTTTTGCAGTGTTTTTCGATTGTTGAATTATGCGGCGTCGCTTCTTTCTCTCTCTCTCTCTTTCTTTTTCTCTTGAACAAAATACTTGCGTTGCTTGAAGAGAAACACGAGATATCGCTCTCAGAGAGCCATCAGTCATATAAGTAATTTCAAGCACTCGGCGGCTGCGGCCTCTCGAGTCTCGTGCGAGAACGCAATCTCGCTCGCCACAAAGACGCGTTCGATAATGACGACCGGTGCTGAAGTTCCCACTTTACGACAAAACGATGAAATTACGTCTGGCTTTGCGAAGCGTGGATAAACACACGCTTGTCTCGCGGAAGAAAATGCGCAAAAACATCGATCGCAGAAGAAGAATCTTACCTGAAGATAATTAGAGACATGGAAAGCGTAACGAGAGCGAGAGAGAAAGATAGAAACAAAGTCTTAAAAACAACACCGACGAGAGGATAAATATCGATCGGAACGCAATCGTGAGAGATTGCGCAAGAAAAACGGAAGAAAAGAACTCGGTCGAAAGAACTCGTTGATGTAAATGAGATCGAACTCTTTGAAACACTTGCGTGTTACATCGCGAACCAGACGGCGTTCCGCTAACTCCCGTGCCCGAACATGTCTTTCGCAATATCGCTTTCTTCGGCGAGATTCATATCTCGTCTCGTTGTCGGAAACTCTCTCCGCAAATTCGATCTACGCGAAACGAAGTGTAACTTAGGCGACGATAAGTTTGTACCCCCGATTTTCCTGCGGGAACATTCTCATCGATGCGTGAAACCCTCGCCTCGGGGCAAAGGAGGGAAAAGGAAGAAGGAGTCTCTCTATAGCTATTTCTTGTTCCCGTCGTCGCAAACGAAGCAGAAAAGTGACGTTCCTCGTCATCGAATCGACTTAGCTCGGCGACGGCGGCCGCTTCGCGCTCGATCGTCTCGATCTAAATGTAAATTTTGCCGCGACTCGCATTCTGAAAAGCGACAACCTTGATGTCGTCGCAATATACGCAAATCACGTATACAACATTGCGACCACGTCGTCCGCGAGTCGACGAAGAAGAAACAAAGTGACCGCAAAATGAAACGCGATCAACACCCACGGAGAGATCGTTTTTCAATTGACTTCATTCTTCAGGAAGGGCTCGCGAATCCTGCAGGGGGTGAACTCGTGCTGCGAGAAACGTCGAGCGATTGCGCGACGCGTTTCGCGCAATGCACTCGAGTCGTTTATCTCTCGCCGAGACGTACATCCAATCTCAAAAGCTTCTCCGAGATTAGCGAAATTCATGAAGCTCTTAAATCGGATTAGTTTTGCTATAATTCGTTTGAACATGA